AAGCCCATGGATGAGTCACTGTGAAGTAACACACATGGTATTTATCCCTCTTTTGAACAGGATAAAGTTATGAATACAGTTTAATAGGGAAAAATACACATGAGAGAAAGGGTTCTGATTAAAAACAAGTAAGAAAAAGACTTCATCAGTGATTTCTTAAACATCTGAAGGGGGGAGGTCTTAGCAATGCTATAACACGGTGGAAGAGCAAACAAGAAGTGGGAGTAGAAATAACAGTTGTTAGTGGAAATTTATCTACAAATTTCATCATTAACCAAAAGCTTTACTTTAATGAGGGTTTAAAACCACGGCTACTTATTTAGCATCTTAATTAAAGTCTTAGGTTTGTTTATTTTTTTAGAGAGTACATAGTGAGGGTTAATTTTAAAGAAATGCGTGGCGGCTGTTCTCTAATTGTTGCTGAAGAAAGAGCAGACTTTGCAAGCTTTTAACACAACAACATCCCTGAAAAACCAAACTGAAATTAAATAAGGCCTGGATAAACAAACTTCTCATCAGCCTTGCACAGAACCTATAAAAGTCAGAACTGCAGTTGGACAGAGCAGTGTCTTTTGAAGCTTTGCAGCAACATTCCTAAATCAAATCTGTAGTTCAAAGCTGTTCACACAGGGAGTGTTCAGTTTCAGAAGTGGATGACATCACCCACTGTTCAGATTTACAAAGAAACTACAAAAATTGAATCATTCAATCACCGGGATCCCAGGATGAAGCAGACAGTTGCAGCTAAAGCATTTCCTCATGACCATATGAAAACATAAAAAAAAAAAATAATAATAATCCTGTCAGAGGACATAGACATTGAAGGAAATGTAACATAAACAAAGAGCTAAACTAAAATACTGGTTGCTAAAAGCACTAGCAGAGTTTAAAGCAAAGAAGGACTGAGAAAATCTCAGGCTCTTTGTGTTCTTACTGATAATCTCAGAGAAGGTACATTTTGAAAAACATTCTACCTGTAACAATTTTATCCCTGAAACAGTAAGCACCAGATCCAGCATAAAATATGAATATCCAAAATTATTCATCATAAAAACAACTATTGAACACCATACGGGGGATACTTCAGATCAGCAGCTCTTTAAAAAAGGTAATAAAATGCATTAGAAGGCATAAAGAAGATGTAAACAAGAGCTTGCTTCTACAAAAAATACAAAAAATAACCCAAATTATACAATGTATATTCAGCAAATTGACAGGATTCATGTTTTCACAAGGACTAACAGAGTTGCTGTTTTAAATTTGGTTTAAAATCAACAAAAAGGGGTTACTGCATGCTGTGGGTAAATATACTAGTCCTGGAAGCGATTATTTTTGCTACTGCTGTTGTCAAAAGCTTTGTTAAATTTAAAAAAGAAAAAAAAAAAATAAAAGAAAAAGAAAAGAGAGAGAGGGGCGCAGTACACAGATTTTGTAGAGCCTTGAGTGCCACTCAAACATTAACACTATTTTCTTCACTTTGTTTGCCTTCCTGCTTGCCTTGATTGCTTTCTCTGTTCGTTACACCCACACTGCCTGACCTCTTCTTGCTCCTGTTCTCTATACTCCCTAAATTACCTACCCATATGCACCACATTAAAACATGTTATCATCTTCTCTTCCCATTACATCCATCAGAATTGTCAACTTTGCAAATTTACTGTGAGGGTCAAATAACTAATATTTCTCTGCATGTCACAGCTTATAGATTCATTCTATTAAGGGAGATTATCAACTTTCAGCACAAAAAGTTTATACTGCTCTCATTGCTGAGAAACAAATGAAACCCTAAAAGCCTGAAAGTCTGGAGACAATAAAGAGATCATTAACTTTACTAGTTTTTAAATCTTGTAATTGTTACAAGCCTGCTTCTTGATCCTTGCATGAAGAGGACTGACATGACTGACCCACATTTAGGGCTCTTCCTCTCCTACAGCACAGGTGCATTCCTCATCCTGCCCCACCACCCTGCTCTTTGGACACAGAGGTCATCTTCATTTTTCTGTGCTCTTGATTTACGATCAGTGTGTCTAAGTGTTATAATGATTCAAATAATATATAAAAACATGAGACAACTCATGGCCACTGCCTTCCCATCAGAGGAGGTAGGGAATTGTTGAGTGCTCACTGCTGAAAGCCGCCGGGTATTTACAGCCTCCGTGCTGCTGCATGCAGATGGCTGGCAGCAGAGCGTCAGGCTAAAGCGCTGCCTCCCTTTCTAAATGTACATGGCCCATCACACACCCTGCAAGCCACCACAACAGCATAGACTGAGGAGAGGACAAGAGAAGGAATGATCCCAAAACTTGGACGCAGGCCCAGTGACTGCAGTTTGGGCCTGGGCCACCAAGGTTTAGTAAGAATCTTCTTTACAAATAAACTGTAAGCAAGCTACATTTTGTCAACAGCTCCACTCTTCCTGCCACGCCTTCTGTGCTATTTGGATTCTCTAAAGAAGTTAAAATTGCACACCAAATGCTCTCTCCTGCACAAGTGTCTCAACTAGAACTGATGCCATCCCAGTCCCTGGCAGTGAAGAGACTCTATTATTAAAGCTTTTGCAGATGCAGCATGCATTGTCCAAGAGAAAAAGCACATCTAATAAAAAAAGAGATAAAAAGTGCATTGATGAAGCCTGTGATGCAGCTGGCTCAGCACCAGCCCACAGGACCCCATGATCCAGGTGGTATTTTTTGATTGTTGCAATTGTTGGCCACAACCTCAAGGGTACCAGGCTTAGCAAGATTGAGAAGACTTTCGAAAAAGGATCCGCTTGGGCCTCATTTGCGATGACAGGCAGCTGCAAGCCCACTAGATTCTGAAACAGGCTGCAAGGAAAAGGAGTCTGTAGACATTCACTGAGTGGAAATAAAGGATACCACACACTAAATTTAGATATGAACCCTTTTAAAAACCACTAAAGGTGTTTGTTAACTGACAGACAGCTCCCTTTCCTATATATGACACCCAGCACTGGCTCTTACTAGAAAGCACAGGCTCACTTCCAAGCCTGCATGGTGCTGAACACCAAAGAATCTCCTAGCAGACTTGTCCATCAGCAGAGGAATGAGCACTTGATCCATTACAAAATGGAAGAAAGCAACCTATTTAGAAAACCCAAACACAAATTTTGATTCTGAACACATCATTAACAAAGCAATAAAAACCCATGTATTTTCTTCTTTCTCCCTTCGTGCAGTATTAATGCTTCAAAGTAATGATGATCCAGTACGAAACAGGAAATCATGTAGCAGATATCTAAGGACATTTGGTGACACCAAAAGGAGCTCAACCTCTTGCAGGCAGACACTGCACTGTTTTGCAGCTTGTTCTCTAATGACACATTACTCTCATTTTATCCTAGCTGTAGAGAAGATGATTACTATCTAGCCAAATCACAAGTATTTGTTACACTATACTGATTTTCAGACTGTTCTAATATATATACTGATACACCTGGGGTTTTTTTCCCTAGTTCTAGGAAGGCTGACACTGCCTTCTCCAATCAAAGGGCGTTATCCTCCTCCTACAGAAGGGTAGAATTTGTTCCTGGGTTTACAAAAGCTCTGAGTGTAGCCTGACAGGATTACTAGTGAGGATTATGCAGGGCACTACTAAAGAACTTCTCCAGAAAAAAAGGGGGAAAAAAACCCAAAACCATAAAAACAGGTCAGCAGTCAAAAATCCCTTCTCACTACATCAGGTTGATCTGTAGTAGAGTCTTAGGCGTAGATCTTACGAGTAAAAGACTCGTAAGAGGAAAAGAGAGAGTATTTGTGATTTCAGCTTTCTTTGTAGTTACAGACTAAAGTAATCCCTCAATTTTTTTTTTTTCCTTGGGTTTGGTTTTTTTTTTTTTTTTCTTCTTTTTGAGGTTAATATATAACAGAAAATAGTGCATAAAAGGTTCAGCTTCAGTGGGAGGGAAGGCCGGTGGTTTACATGTCAGGCCAAATTCAGATCCTATTACTCACGTTAGTAAGTAGTTACACAAAAGACCCCAGTTACTTCAGTGGCATTTCTCACAGAGTAAGGTTCTACTTAAACTGAATGAGCAGCAAAATATGCCTCTAAATTACATACAGTCAATATTTTAGAAATCCTAGATAATCTATATAAATATACACCATCTCCACAAGAGACAACCTGTAACCTGTCAAAGATCATTGTATTTTTGCATAAAAATGTATATTCTGTTTCCTAGGAATCTTCCATTCTAAATTCAGAATTTACCAGTCATTGCAATACTAAATGAAAAGTTTGAGAACATAATCTTCATGCAATTAGAGATAATCATCTAAAAGTCCAAATATTCTCTTGCATTCTTAGGAATGAGATATCTGAATGAAGTCATTGTAAACTGACAGAGATTCTTACTTGGCTTAACAGTTTTGAAACTCCTTTAGCATGTTCGAAATCTGGTCTTCCAAGTACAGCAGGCTCCTTACTCATCTCTCCCCTTCCTTTCTTGTACTCAGCCTTAGAAAAAAATATTAATATGAATCAGTATTAAATTGGTTGCTTTCATTTTATCAAGAGAAATTTAAGTATTAAAGCTAGTAGAAAGTCTCATTTAGTGAACTGAATTGGCACTATTGTTCTAATCAGCTCTGAAAAAAGCCCTTCTCAGGCTTCAGCTCCATAACAACATAAAATTTATTTATTCCAAAACACAATGCACAGCATGCACAAAATTCAACTTTAGCCAAATGCATGGCTTAAGCCTGAGAAATATATTTCTCCCAATCGAGGCAGAACGAGTTACAGTGGCTCAGCATTTCATGACAGGGTCTGCAGTTTACACAAGATTATTTGTAGCAGCTGAAAACAATCTTGAAACAAAACTAGGCTGAGGGGCAGCTTTTTTGAAATGCAAGGTCAAATTCCACTCTCAATTTTACCACTGCAATCTTGCTGGATGTCAGTGAGGTTGCAGTGCTGTAAAAGAGCAAAATTAGTCCCGCAAGGTTGATGTTACATGATCTTTGCAGCTGAACTGCCACTCATGCAAATTGCTGCAATTTTTTTCCACAGTGCATTAGAAAAGAGCACAGATGAATCGACAATAGGTGCTTTGCGATACCACAAACTAAATCATCCGTTGCCTAAAATAGGCTTCTTGCATTACTCAGGCACTGTGAATCAGCAAGGACACGTCATAACAGACCAAAAGAAATAAAAGTCTCAAAGTCACTCTAACTCAAAGGAGGCCTGAACAGGAATTAGTAAATTTGGGTGTTGAACATAAGACTTAGTAGAAGTTCTTGGTTTTCAGAAAATCCTGAATATTCAACAGGTGAGTCTCAGGCCTCTTAAAACTGTCTCTCCATAGGCACCTAGTCAGTCTCACATTAAACTATTAAGCAGTTACTTAAAATCTTGGCTCAGGGCTTTTAATACATATATTGTTTGACTTGTCTACAATAAAATATTAAACTGCATCACACGTTGCTGCTTCTCAAACTGCTCCTTGACCTATCCATTAGCAGATGTCACGGTGGGAGGGCAAAGAATTTGAGAGGGGAGTTTGGGGAGGAGAGCCCCTATGCAAGAAACAGCGTGTTTGCTCAGCTCTCACAAGGACAGCGGGGAAGCACATTTCCCTGTTGCTGCCGGATGAGATGGGAGGAGGAAGAGGAGTCCTGGGATGTGAGCTTCTCTTGTATTGAGGTGAAAAAAGGCTTGGTATGTCTTCTGAAGCGTAGTGTAGCATACAAGCACATGACTTATTTTAAGAATCATTATCATGAATAAAGCCGAAACAAAACCAACTCTAGTAAGCTTAACATTGTCTTTAGATCAATGACCAATAATTGCAAAGGTCATACTGTCAACATCAAAATAGAAGAAACCCCTAATTTTGTAATATACCAGGCAAGCAGGTTTTTGATCAGGTTTTGTTTTTTATTAATCAAACCTCGATATCAGATTTGGGGCTGCTCGTGACGTTTGACAATTTCAGCAGCATTCTAAACAATCTGACTGAAATTGGAATAAATAAAATGTCTAAAAAATACAAATAGAGTAACAGGAAAACATACATCACTTATTATCTTTGTTATCTCAGTTGCTATCTTTATGTCTGGCCTGTTCAGGACTTCAGTGTATCGATGAGTACCTTGCACACCCTTCTTATAGGATACCTGTCAAACAAAAAACAGTTTTGTTTAAAACAAACAAATAAAACCATTTGAAGTTTATAAATAATCTTTGAATGACCTATCGACTAAGCCATCAAATTCAATAGAACTCTGCCTCATTCACCAACACAGTCCTGCTTGATAGGGATTCTTTAGTAAGACCCAAACACAGGTTAACAGGATAAGGAAGAAATTCAGAAGTAGAAAATAAAATATGAAAATGAAAAATGGTTTGGCTTAGAAGCATAGTAGAAAATGAAAGCACTCAAAGACCCAAATATCAGGTTTTATCATTAAGTTTGGGAGGACTTCCAAGAGTACTGATTTTTTTTCTATCCCATACCCTTTTTAATATAAACTAAACGCCCTATGATAATGAGCACCACCAGTCCAGCAGATTGCAGCTGCACTGAACAGAAACTGTAACTCTACCACAGCAAATGTCTTTCTCAGTAATAGGCAGCCGTGTAGCTGGTATGTAATTCAATGACACAACTCCACCCCAGCATCCCCCACTCCCCGCAACTCCACTTATCTGCTCCTTTACACAATCATGGGAACAAGAAGGCTGAGTGTTCCAACATGTGGAGTACAAGACTGAATCTTTCTGTTTGTGCAAAAGCCACTACTATAATGAATGGGCTCAGAAAATTTTGGCCAGAAGGCTAAACCACAGGTAGGAGAGTCCAAACATTTTGCATTTAACAAAGCAATCACAGGAACAGCATAGACCTCAGGGATGTTACAGAGCTCCAAGACCACAAGTTATCCTTTGTCTCCCTCTTCAGTGTCTGTAGACTTTTTTCCTCTCCTTTGCTGTGGCATATGCGCCAATCTAAGCCGATTTCCAAGAGCTATCTTACTGAATTATTCTGAATGATTAAGAAAATCATCCCTGGTATTCAAAATCATCTGCAAATTGAAGTTTCAGGCAAAAGTTAGAGAACATAAAATAAAGTTGACAGGAAATAGAAAGCATCAGAGTAAGTCCTCTTACTGGATAGCCTTTTAGATTTTCTTCTGTTTAACAAAGTTGATCAACCTCTCAAGATAGTATTTTTACCATCAAGAAAGTCCTTGGCTTGAATCTTCACTTACAACCTCTGCATCTAGCTCGTATTTCCAATGTAAAATTTCACTCTGGGTACAACACAACAATCTCAAACTGCAGCACTGAACTACAAAATAATTTGTAGAAATTTTGTAATTTCTCTGTAAAAAGAAAAGAAAAGAAAAAAATCTTGCTTTTTGGCAAATATTTTAGAGGCAACAGGAAAGTAATTTTGTGTCCATATGGCTTCAGCTAAGTAGACAAGCTAAACAGGCTTCACTGTTGGCCGCTTGCCCACAAATAGATCCTATAATTTTTAACCTACAATGAGCGACACACAAGTGTAATCACTGATAAAATAAATAAATAGGTTGGATGAATACAGCCCGAAGTATCACCCACTAAGAAAACAGAAACTGATTCTTACAGATTGTTTAAACCACTGGAAGTTTTGTTTTGGTTAGATTTCGATTTCTTCTATTTTTTTAAGAAACTAGATGTACAGACAAGCATTTGCAATTCAGGGCTTTACATGAATTTAGTTAATTATATGCTGTTCATCCTAATGACCACATGAGGTGAGGTGAAAACCACAAAGGCAGCAGAAACAGGTTTCTGAATAGCACCCTATCATCCATGTAAATTGCAAATTAAAGGCCAGCATATGTGCTCAAAATAGAAATTAGGAATGGAGTGAATTTAACAACAGAGAATCTAGAATAGCGGTGATAAAGTTGAGGAAATGTGGTCACTTATTGCTCCCAAATGACATGATCATATAGTACATGAAATAATGGATTGTGGTTAATTTGGGGGGGGAAAGGGGAGGGGGAGAATAAGACAGTGACAGTCCTTTATATTTCACCATTTCCAATTATATTAGATGCAAGGCCAATTGCTATAGCTTTCCCTGAGTGAATTATTATTCTTCCTGCACCTAAACTAGTATACCTATTACTTATGTCTGAGGGAAAGTCATCTAGCATTTTACAAATGTCTGCAATATATATTTGCTCCATTCTGCAGCTTGTCATACTCCGGTGAGAATAAAAATGTTATGCAGCAGAACAGTAGTTTGTCAGAGGTAGGCCAAAGAAAGAAAAAATATGTTTCCCATTTCCTGAATAACCCCAATCCCTGGATGCTGACCCTTTCCCATTGGGACAGTGTGCTGGCCTCTATTACACAGCTGCTATTCTGTTCCATCTAGTGATTTTTTTTTTTAATAGTGCAATGTTAGAAGAGTAAAACCAGAGCTATTCAGAGAGCAGGGGAACAGATGTAGACAAGGCAAAGCAACCAGCTTGGTGTGTGCACCCATGGGCACTGAGAAGATGGAAAGTGGAGAAGCCTGCAAGGGAGAAGAGAAAACAAAGTCTGGTCAAGCAACAAGAGAAAGGAATCAGCAGAAGCAGGCAGGGAAGGGGACGCCTTTTCTGATGAGATGCTTTAGCCCCTTACCAAGAGACTCAAACCCTGACTGGAACCTCCAGGCATTATAAGATGCCCTTACTCAATCTTCACCTCAAAGGGCTGTTTAGGCTCCATCAAAAAACATCACCAAAGGCTCAAGAATTGCTCCTTTTTATGAGAACCACAGGTCTACGCAACATCTGCTCAAACTGGCCTTCACATAGGAAAAAGTAACTAAGATACTGACAACTTAAAAGCAGCAGTGAAAGATCTGAACAAAGAGTTACAGCAGAGCAGTGAGAAATGCAAGCAAGAAAGCAGCAGGTACGAAAAGGCAAAAAAAGTACCATCTCTAGTTCTGAAGCTGCAAATAGCAAATTACAAATACTGATTAAATTTGAAGTGTTATTCTACCCCAATTTGAAATTACAATAAAAAGTCGTTACATCATTGAACGTTTTTAAAAAACACTAATAATCTGAACAAAAGCCATTTCTTGTCTTTTATCCCAAATGTGATTACACATCCTGAATTGTCACTAGTTTTTGCAAAGCATGGAAAATATTCGAGGCTTGATCATAATTAGTAGACTAATTTTAATAGGGTCAAACCTCTGGCTCTTATAAAGAGGCACGAGGTCCACTGAGGATAAATATGCCAGTCTATTCACTCCAGCTGAGGGTCCTGAAGATGCTTTACCTTTCATGATGGTCCCAGTGCATTGGAACGTACTACAATGCTGCAAAGGAAACAGAGTTCTAACAATGCTGCAAAACATCTCAGGTTGCAAATCAACGAACGGAAACTTCTGCTACATGGTGACCCAAGTATACCTAGGTTTAAAGCACTAGGCCCTTTCCTGCAATCTTTTGTCTTCTCCCTTATTCCAATTCCAAAACTCTTCCAAGCTATAGGCAATAAATTATTAAAACATGCACAAGCAGCTATGAACACATCTTGCTCTCTTGAGATGCACATGCACAAGGAGCTGGGCACACCTATCTGCAAGAGAATTTGTCTCTTACTGTTTGTCCGTGCTTAGTATTTTCTAAGAGCTGCAAGTCCACTAACTAATGGCTTGTCAGCTGTGTCTCTGCCCCCTCTTCTCTCATCTGCACTTTGGGGTCCATCAACACTATGAAAATGACTAGCTGGTGACAATCATCATTGGCAACAGCTTTTCTGATCTCCACTCAAATGGTGTTGAAAACTGTTTCCCAGCTCGTGTAGAAGAGACAAACACATTTCTGGCCCATTACAGATTGATGCAGTCATCCTTTCCAGTAATGGGCTTGAAAATTGATTGGTCCCAATTACATCAGGAGTAAACACATCATTTTCAGCACCAGTTGGAAGCAGTCCAGGGGGACCTGCTGTTGACAACCACTGTCAGCAGAAAGTTAGTCAGTGAAAGGTGATTTTTCTAATGCAGATACTGAACAGAGAGCCAGGAGAAGCTTGACTTTAACATGATCTGCATCAAAACAAACATCGACATTTTGGTACATTATTGAAGGCATTTAAGCACATCAAGTTTAAGATCTGCTGATTTGGTCTTATCAGAAAGAACATAAATATTTTTGGGTGGATTGTGACTGCACAATATCCTGAACATGAAAAAAAAAGCTTACTCCTAAGACAACACAGACTTCTTAAATATTAAAATTTAGAATATTAAAACATTCTAAATTACCACTACTGACATCATATGAACTGAAAAGTCCACACATACACATAAAATGTTTGCTCAACTGTCAACTAACATTTTAAAAGCAGCACTGTTTTGTACGTAAGCATAAGAGAAAAGATACCAGGGCCCCAACCTCAGATTAGCAAGCTGCCTTATAAATGCCCACAGATGAGCCTATTGCAGTTTTGTTATTTGTGAAACCAGAACACCACTTCCTTATTTCATACAATGCAATGCTGTGAGAATCAGTAATTTTAACCAAGAAGAACATTTAAATTGTTTTACAAATACTTAACACTGTTTTGCTATTCACAATGCCCAGTGATGGACCAGACCACTGAACAGACAAAACTGTGATCCACAGCACAGAGCGCCTTCATCAAATGCCGTGTGCAGCTTCTACCCAGGCACAGTGCAGCACGTGTTTTCTTTGCTTTAGAAACTTCATTGTCATGTCATTTCACTGTTCGACTACTTTCTTCCATCCATGTGATCCCCAGCTAGACATAAGGCAAACCAATATTTGGTGACCTGACAGTTTTGTAAGGGCCACCACCTAATTTTGGTCCAGAGTTTGGAAACTTCCAGATAAGCTAAATGACATCTGCCAAGCACAGACATAAAGCAGGCTGATGGTCCCTACTTCACTTTTCTCCAAATTCCTTTGTGTGACAAAGTCACACCACCAACTTTCACTTCACAAAACACAAACACAATTTATAGACAAAAGTACTCTGGTTTGGATAAACATGCTTTTGTTCAAGCACTTTAATTATTTTTCAAGTAAACTCCTTGTTATTAAAAACCCACTTCTGTTCTTTTGAGAGCAATTTTCTTCTGTCTAAGTATGAAGAAGAGGCAAATGTTATTCTTATACATGATCACATCATTCAGGAGATTTTACAGTATTTCCCTATTATGCAGCTTCAGCCCATGCTTACATAGCACGTTAATGATATTCAAAGCAGCGTGAAGGCCTACGGCATATGACAGTTTCAAAATGTCAGCACAAATGTATTGTAAGTTGAATACAGTCTTAATTTTTAAAGGAAATTGCACATTTCACAGAGTTGAGTATAAATGTCAGCCTTATTTTAAGGCTGAGTAAATAGTCTTAAACACATCCTAATCCTATTAGATGCAAACCCTGCATGTAAAGGTTGAATTGAGTTGGCAGAGCATTGTAGGTAAACACGCATTCTGCTCCCATAGGTATACTGTACTGAGTGGTGGATAAAAGAGCTTTGTCCTTCTATTCCCCTAGTAGTTTCCCTCCTTTTCCCCTGCATTTTCAAAGCTGTGATTCTACAAATAGCCTGAAATAGTTTGGAAAGACAAATGCTCCTCACTTGGGATGCTCGCTGTTCCATCCTCTGACTCAAAGATGAAAACTCATGTGGATCTTAATTAAACCTGTACTTACAAAACAAGAAATCCGCAGCTATTCACCATGGTGCCCAAACAATTACCTGCAGGAGCTGTGTAACTCCACTGAACAATAACTGGACTTACATAACTTGCTCCTCTATGTGTTACAAAGATACATCCCCATTGCACTGCAGCACCCCATGAGCAACCAGAAAGAATCTGTTCTTAAACAGATGAAACTAACTGGTTAGAGTTTTATGTTGGATACAGAGGATTTGTTTGATTTTTTGAAGCTTGCTCAGGCTGAAAATAATTTCCTTCATATTTTTTCCACTATTTTTAACATGCTATTAGAAGTTCTCATTTATCAAAACATCCTTCCCTCCTATGTTTGCCTTCATTTCCTTTTTTTTTTTTTTGCTTGCTTTAAGGGTGAAAGAAGATGAAACAACTGAATTTAATTTACTCTCACATCTGTACCCTGCTCTCCTTAATTCTGTTAGCAGCTGTAGAAGGGGAATGAGTTCTGTGCTAGCATACTAATCCCCAGACCATGATGAATTTGATTCAAAAACTCATCTCTCATTCGTCCTGGTCCCACCATCTTCTCTGAGAGGGATTCCCATCTCTCTTCCCAACATTATTTCCTTCCCTGGTAGTCCACCATCATTCCTACTGCTAGGTAAAAAAAACTCTCTTGCTTATGGGGAGAGAAGTTCACATTCCCAGCTCCAACCCTCCATCAAGCTGATATCCTGATGTTTCCAACAGCAGAGACTGCGGAGTTTGACAGGAAGAGGGAATTCTGTAATCAAGGCAGGTTGCAAATTACTGCTGGGAGTTCCAATGCAGGTATTTCCCAGCAGAAGAAGTTGTTATTCTTCAAACATAATGCTTCCCTGAAGTTTTCCAGCAGCCTTTTAATCAGCAGCCAGCTGTCAAGATTCTGCACACACAGGCATACATCTAACATTGACATTTAGTTTTCAGCCTACATACCTAAGAGTGTTTGTTACGCTGTCAGAGGGAAGATAGGATAAATTTAAGATAATTCCAAATGAACACCAAAGCTTCATTTTCCACATTGTTAGCAGCAAACAAATATCCTGCTTATCTGAGAAACCAAAGTTATAAAAACACATATACCTACCTGACTTGGTTACCTAAGAAACGAATCATACCTTTAAATGTTATTTACATGTCAGCTATTCTTACTGGTTTTGTGTACCCTTTATAACAACCTCACTATTTTGGCCAATCTTCTCCTAAAATTTATTTTTCTCATGAGTTTTAGGTTTTGTAAAAGCTAACACACATTTTTCTTCAAAGTTGTGTTTGTATCATTCAAGACACTAATCTTGGTAGCATTTCTGCCCCCAGCAATGGTGCTCTGAGCTAGTAGAAGCTAGCTCCACCGTGAAATCAAACCTCACTTGATACTAATAAAAAATGTAAATATTATTAGTAGGCTTTTATATTGCAAAAGCCTAAAGAACTTAAAGAAGTTAACAAGCAGCTGTGGGAAAAAGAAAAAAAAAAACCAACACACCAACCAACTTTAAGAATATTGCTAAATACTCTCTATCATTTGTAAATTATCTAACTAAAACTACTAAAACTACAAGAACAAGTACTTTGGTCAATGGTATAAAGTAGCGCCAGGCATCAAACTGAACTCTATGGCTCAGACTATGTAAAATAATTCATAGATTCTTCTTTGAAACTCATTTGATATGTATTCATGAGACAGGAACAAAGTTATTCATGTGCATAGAAGACTGCAAGAGCAGAGCAGAAACAGCCCCCTTCTTTCCTCTATACAGAACCCTTGAAGAACTAGCCAAGTGTTGACAGTGTAAAACACTGAAACCAGGCTGGTGTTTGTGTAAAGAGCTTTATACAGTTTCAAAATACAAGTAGGTACACATGAATTCAGAAAGCCTGTGTTTGTAATTTAATTTCAAAGTGATAGCACCTAATAACAATAACTACTAACAAACATCACAACCACTTTCCACTGCAGTTTAGAATACAAGTCACATACATTACTGGCAGTATATTTTATACACACACCATGTCCCAAATCACTCCAGAGCAAACAATATAAAAAATAAGAACTAATGAAATACAAAAATATTCCATGTCTAGTTCATTTAAGTTAGCTGTAATATACGTATCCACCCAAAACAAGCAAACTCACTTCAGATGGGGGAGTACTCACATCACTCTGGTATTTACTGACTTCCATGGCATGCTTAATATCTGGAGGCTCTTTCATATGTGCATAATCTGAAGTTCCTTTCTCAGCATCATGTTTTTGTTTATAGAGAACCTGAAAAGAGCAACATTATACTTTTGTGACCTCAGCAGAGCAGGTATAACAACATAAGATGGGTTAAACCTAGTGTCATTGTGTGCCTGTGTTCAGGAAGAAATGTAATAAATAATGAAGCTCCTTAATGGAACCAGAACCCTGAAATGAGAGCTTCCACCCAAAACAGAGACATATGAGGCACAGTCAGCAGAGAGATTTCTCTGTGACTGTTGCAACAGAGGTATGAGTAGACAGGGGAAAAGAAAGAAATATACAGAAACAGAAAATCAACCTTAACAAGGTGAGAAGACAGCCCAGGGAAAAGCACAAGCAAAAGTGTGTTTTGCTTTTTTTTTGGCTCAAGCCACACTTGAATCTATCAGCTACGTAACGCTTCCAGGTTTCCTTTTTTTTTTTTTCCTGTTTTCAGAAAAAAAAAAAAAGGAACTATTTTGTTACATTAAATACTCATAGCCCAAACATCTATTTCTCCCACTGTTCGGAAATTACTAGCACAATACACATTTTGACTAGCCCCCAGGTTCACAAAGAAAAATAATATTTATATTCCATTGTCATCATGGTAAAGGAAAATGGAATTGGATTGTGAGTTTATAAACAAATTTATTTTTATAATAGAAACTGAGCTCAATGTTGGGATTCATCCAGCTTTCACTGTACTGTGTTACACTCACACATACTCACATACTAAAACTGCCTGAAAAGCTGATCTTGCACTTATCCTTGTCAGAAGCTTTTAGGCTTATGTTAAGAAAATTCACCAGGTTTTGATGCTTGAAGAAGCTGCAAGCATCAAGAAAATTCATTTTCTAATAGCTCTCAGAAGCAAGCATTAAAATAATCCCCAAGAAAACAGCAAATACTAAATAAGTTGATCGGAAGGAGAAGGATTTGAAATGAAAACCCTTGATAGCAATGAAAGAATACTGTGAAAGTTTTGAGAACTCTGGACTACAGTGATTTGGACTCTTAGGGCAGAATACTAGAACCATGAGAAAATGTTGTATCTGTTTGTGTTTAAGGCAGCAAGATTGCATCTGAGTCACAGATCAGGGTGCCCAAGGCAATATAGTAGTATCTGCCCTGGCTATCTCAGATTACAAGAAAAAGGGTTTGGGTTGTTTGGGGTTTTTTTGCACTGCTACTATATGAACGAAAATATCAAATTAGGGAACTTAAAATGTGCCATCTTCTTATACTACAGTGTAAATCCAACATGAGCAGGCCCCTGGGGAAACAAACACAACTTAAATTGAAACAAAAAAATGTCTATAACCTCCCTATGCTGATTACATCTTGCAATTGGCAAAGCAAATAATCTTTAACAAGACTGAAGAGTCACTAACAAATGATCCCGTGCAAAAGTGTAATTACTATATAAACATATGTCACAAAATTTCTTTTGCTACTTCTCCTGCTTCACTTTGTCACTTTTAAGATGTTCCCCACTTAATACTATTTCAAAAAGCAGACCCGTGTGGTTACTTTCAAATCTACTGTTTCATAGATATTTTATTACACTACCACTTGGTTGGGCTATATAACCAAGACACCAAAAAACAATAGCACATCAACTCCCAACATGAGAAAACTAACAGAAATTAAAACTGAGTGTCCACTATCTTGGAAAAGACAACTGTTTCTTTAGCTTAATGTAGTAATATCTCACTTGCTATTTGACAGCTGTGTTCTTCCTATCTTTTCACCTTATTCTTATTAACTGACTTAAGTATCCTTGAAGCCATCACAGGGTAGGAGGAGCTCAACAGCTATCTAGTTTAGTTTTGGGCAGTTTACTGCAGAACTATTCCCAGATCTGTACATCAGTTCCAAGGAAGCATGAAAAAATGTTTATGGTTATTATTTTATCAATATTCTTAGAACCTTTATTTTACATGTTACCATGTACATTTATGTATACATTTATTTCTCATTCCATGTTAATTTTCAAGTTTTAGCTAAACCGAATTTTCTTTATCAAATCTACATATGAAACTACTCTACAGAGAGATGAAGTATTATAGGTCACTGACATAACCTCTACTCTGTAGTGGCACCATTTGTTAACTCAAGAAATAAATGGCAATTATTTAAGTAGGTATGACTTCAGATTGAACTAATTTGTAAGTATTCATTTTTTATTTTTTTTATCTTTCTTGTACACTAGTGTGTCAATAGGAAGCTGCATTAAGTAAGGCTTTGTGCTCTTTTAACTTAAATCTGACTGACTCTCTGTTTTGGAATAATTTAAACACTCTGAATTTTTTTTTTTTATTTCCCTTTGCAGTCGGTAAGCTGAGCTCTGAACTTAAAATCCACAATGTAGGATTTTGTAGTAGGAAATGTTCAAGTACACAGAAAATGCCATTTTAATCTCTAGACAGGGAATTAGATTATCTGATGTATTTGTGTAAAACAAAACTACAAGTCCAGGAGACTGCTACCACCAAAAAAAGAGGAAATCTTGAACATGAGTTTTGATACCAGTAAAAAACCGTTAAGAATTACATAAAACAGTCTGATAATGTGTAGTATGACTGTAAATGCTGCAGTAAACCCCAAAAACCAGCTCTATCATAGTAAAAAACCACATATGATAGTAAAAGGAGGATTCCGCCCACAAGTAAGAAAAGCTCTGAAACTTTCTCTGAAAGTTGAAAATACTGCTTAAGATTCACTTGGCTCATCATCCTTAAAAACAAAGACAAAATACTGTTGAGCATTGACATATAGTTACTATTTGAGAGATTGCCCTGTGCAAAGGAGAAAATTAAACTGCCTTCAGTTTGCCTTAGATTATTCCTTTCAGATAAGAAGAAAAACAGTGCAATCTCTTCTTATGACAGAAATAAAGTGAAGAAAAAAGTGATGAAACACATACTTTTTTTCAACATTGTTTCCCCCTCAAGCAATTTTTAATACCTTTATCATTGTTTGTGACACCTTATTAAAAAAAAATTGTTCTGTGTAAGGAAGAATTCAGTACACTGGTCTTCGGACAAGAAGAAGACTTGGCACAAATCTAGCTAGCAATGATCAGAAAATTTCCTTCAGAAATATTTTCCACAGGAAAATTGCAGTTTTTCCAGATGTCCATTTCCTCTCAGGAAAATCAAAGTGAGGGCTCCCTGCCTAGACTTTTCTCATCAACTTTATTTTCTCATTGCAGAGAACTGGTGAGAGCTTTGTAGGCTGGCAAGGAGCGTGAAGTTACATGGTGCAGACAGTGACTTTTGCTCTCTCTAGCTTACCCTGGGGACAGCTATGACAAAGCTAGGAAAATCTAGTTGTTCATCTCAAGAAAGCTGTTTAGAAGGCAACAGTCAAATTTTCTGCAGAGAGGAAAAAATGAAATTGATAAAAGCCACCCAAGTTTGTGGGGTTATGAAACCTCTTTTTCATTCTCCTGAAACGTTTTTTTCCCCATAAACACTATCATGAAATTTTGTCAAAATTTTGGACAGATTTCCTTCTCTAAGGTTATTTATTTCCATCTTTGTGCCAGTTCTACATAAAATACAAAAAAACAAACACGGGCTTTATGCAAAAGCCAACAGAGGTGGTCTTGTTTTAGTCTTTCCTGTGTATCTTGAAGAGGGAATTGAGCATGATACAAATACAGGCAATATGAGCAGAAAGCTCCACACGATGAGAACCGCAACTGTCAGGGTGTTGTACTCTCCGTTATGGTAAGAACCTGTCAGTGCTGACATCATTTGGCTGGAACCCTACAGAACGAGGTCCTGGCTCTGTTGAAGACAATGACAATTGCTATTATCAGCTAAAGCATGCAAAAGTGATAGATGGTGCTATGGCAGTCTCTTTGCTCTGGAGAGGGCAGTGGAGGGCAGCTGTAGGTGGGGAATAACTTATTGTGAGAAAAAGGAACTTTCCCCTAGTTGCCTCCAGGTTCCTAAATCGTAAGTGTGATCTGAAACACTGTGAAGTTAAATTGGGGTAGATCCAAGTAGGCTGAAAACAGACCTTCTGGGCAGCAGCAGCGCAGCAGCACCATTTTAGGATCTAACATCAAATCATGGAAGAGACCATTTGCCAAGGACACGCCCATGTAAGAAGGTCACCCAGCAGAGACATACCAACTTCAGCAGTCCTGTGCCAGCAGGCAGGAGCAGTGAGAGTCATTGGCCCTCTTTCTTCCACACTGTGATCCCCTAGTCCCCACACACCTGTTTGGCAGATGAGGCTACGAATCCTACCAAGAATATGGCACCACAGAGCAAGAATGCACCTGCTTGATCTGGCTACAAAGGCATTCACGCCTGGCCTTACATCCAAGAAGCATGAAAAGGGAGTCAAAGATGTAAATTTGTTCTACTGTGACTGGGGAGGAGAAAACGTACTTGTATTTTCCACTTCTCAGGAAATAAGCACCTATTTAAAATCAAGTTACTATAATTGAGAAATAGACTGCAGTTCTGTGCTTGCAACAGCCTTTCTGCAGGAGGGTTGGCACAACGGCCAGTCAGTGCTGGTCTCTCCTTCCTATGGCATACCCCAGTCCCCTCTTGCTGAAGTGATGACCTGTAAATCCACAATCCCAGCTAGATAGATGCAGCAGAAATCCCTTCTGCCACATCCTGACCCAGTTGAAATCTGAAATCCTTGTATTAGCTACTTAGGTGCTGCAGTGATAGGCACAATATGGATTAGATTTGAATACTGTAGAGATTTTCCACTAAAAAATCCCCTAGGATCTCTCTCAAAGTAGCATTAAATTCAGGTCCACTGCAACAGTAACCACAAGTTGGAAAAATGTGTCAGCTTATCTTTAAGTTTTATGGTAGATTACGATTTATAATGCATCTATTCCTAAGGGGATGGTATGAATTTTACAGGAAAAGTCTCTGCTTAAATATAACTCATCCTATATGCACATTTGTTTCTCTATGACTGTTGGATGACTGAAGAAAACCTTCAAAAATATCAAACGAAAAAGTCAATCTTTTCCTTAAAAGGGTTTTTTTTGATTAATCACATGGTTTCATTTTTAGTCTCAGTTATTTAACTTTTCTGCCACACAACTGATGTTAATTAACCTCATTTGCGTAAACTAATGTAGAATGTACTCATTTGGAATGAATCCAGGAGTAAATCTGTGGCAAAGTAGTTAACCAATGTTTTAGAGATCAAGCTAAGAGTTTAAAAATGTTATACAAGTTTAATTCCCAATTTATTTCTACTGTAATTCATCTAATCCCTCACTTTACAATGAAATGTCACATTAATGTCATTTCGGCTACTGTGATGCTTTGAGTGTACATAAGTTCCATTACAAACTATGAAAACTAAAATATACCTTGTGTTATTATATTTGCTTAATAGAGCCTTGATTAACACATCATTTTAAATCAAAACATTTTTCCACAAGCTGTCCTGAGATTTCAGTGCTTTCTTTTGTTACGAATATTTTCCTCTGTTTGAAAAAAAATCCCTGCAGTAGAAGAACATGTATTGAGATACAATCAATAACACAGATTTAGGAGCATGTTCACTTCACAGACTGGCGGTATTAAACTATATGTAGTTAATATCTTTAAGAAAGGAGAAAGGCAAAACAAGGAAGTAAGTGGAAATGCTTGGTGGACAGGAAGCCATGACAATCTACCAGCTTTAATTCTCGTGAGTAACAACAAAAAAAATCTGTTACTTCATTTATAGGACATATACTCAACACTTCCAATTCCACTGAGATCAACAGAAGTGAAGGGTCACCTGCCTACATTAAGGTTATTATATTTTTAAGTCCCTGGAGGCAACTGAACTGGAATTTACTATTTTACTGGTTGTTTGCATGTTTCACACCATGTTCAATAGACTTGATTTCATATTTTTAATTCTATAAAATTTGCAGGGAGTGGTAGTATGTAGACCATCATAAATACGTTTACTGCTACCAGTAAGTGACTTTAAAAGTCCTTAAAGCATCAAATGTTTTATAAAGCTAATGCAACAGCCACATTGAAATGGTCGTTATATAAGATTCATCTATTCTATAAATGCAGTGCAATGTCACATAATTCCTTATTGCATTCATGGGTTTCTAATGGATTTCATTGGACTGATGAATGCACTAGCAGTTTTTAAATTTGTATTTAATAAATATAACAAGTAAGATTGTTGACGTTTTAAAAGCGAGTAGTTCTTGAAGTTAAGATGTTATGGTGATAAACTCTGAATGATAAACTCACCTAAATAAAACAATCAAGTATCTGTTCAAATATATTGTTAAAATTGGTCATATTCAGTCACATAATTCATCTAAAAATCTTTTTTGTGATTCTAAAATTGTACCTTGCTCTGAAGCTGTGTTAATTCTTTTGCAAATACGCTGTCAATTGTGGCTGGCATCTGCTGATAAAGAGAGTTGGAAAGGTCTTTCTTAGCAGCTCCTTTATACTTCACCTTAAGGGGAGAAAAAGGAGACATATAATGCAAAAATTAAGATACAGTAATGACACTACCTATTTTTTCTATCAAGTAAAATGGCATTGACCATTAGAACTGAAAAATCTAATGCTGTCATAAACTTTCAAGCAAAATCAGATCTTTCAATAACAACTGTAAAACGCTTTAGGTGAACTTGTCTCATTCACAAAGCAATGCAAAGTATCTCCTAATTAAATTCAATAATTTTGCGGGAAGTATAAATTAAGGTAAGCAAAGTAGTTATTTTTCTATCCTTTTTTAAATCATTTCCAAAAATCAAAGTTATCCTTCTTTCCATCTTCTCAAGTTTTGCACGACGGGAGCAATGAGAGGACAACAAAAAATATTTTACCAATTAATAAGTAGTAGCAATTAAATGTAACTGGAAAGGGCAGTAACACTGAAGTTAGCATGTCTGACATCATTTCTAATTACATATTACAGACTCCTTTTAAAATTACTTTTTATTTATCCTTTTTCCAGTGTTCAGTAGTAGCGATTCCTCACAAAACGGTTTTATGAGACAGGCCAGAATAACAGTTCAAAATCTGGGAGGCTGTTACTTCAGATCTAGGTCTTTCAAATTAATGAAACAATAATGTCAAGTATTACTGTGAAAGTAATCACAAATATCAAAGATCTTTAAATGATACTGTCTAATGTCATTAATTTACTGTGCGATATACAGCTGTTCATTAGAGACTAGTTCGCCATATGTATTGTATATATCAACAATTTGCTGTAACATTTCTTGCTGTTTCCCAGAGGGCTCTTCACTGGAGTAGACATGCTGTTGAGAATTTCAGTGTTCCAAGTTTTGCAAAACCAGGTTATGGGACACTAGAGGTCAGTAATTTACAAGACAAACCATCCGTCACACCACTGGCTTCAGGTAATGCTGCAGTAAGCAGAGTGCTCAACAGTGTGAGCACATAAAACGTATGAGTTTTAAATTTTTGAAATATCTTTATACCTCTAATTCTTTGACTAATAATTAGCAGCTTTTCTTTGGAATCAGACAGATAGATTTGATAAATACTCTCTCTATATTGTGCTTTTGTAGACTACAATAGTCTGTCTCTCAGAAAGTATAATTTCATCATATTTATGCCCCTTGGGATATGACACTC